ACTTACTGCCTCTTGGATTTTAAATGCTGCATTGCATCCTGGGTGGACCACTGCTATGCTCAGGGAGGATGGAATGCTGGTGCTATAACGCAGGGCAGCGACTGAAATAGCTTCCTATGTATCCTGTCTTCATAAATTCCTCCCTTACATCTTTCTCTCCCCCCTCCACTCACAGCAAGTCCCAGACCCTTCCTCCACTCCCCCAGCCTGAAGGACATTTATGAGGCTCATCACTGGGGAAGCATTTGAGGCCTGTTCCTGCCTCTCCCTTCGCTAGCATGAGAATCTCTGGTCCCCCTCCCTCACCCTCCCTCCTGGGCCAAGCTCAGATATCTCTTGCACTGTTTATGGGCCGTTGGGATTTTTCCAACAACTGAAATGAATCTGTGGGGCCCCACAGGTAGTGCAGCCCGTCTCGGGGCCATAAACCATGGCTGGGTCTTTCATCTGCAATTGCTTATGTCATAAACGAGTGGGAGGACCAGGCAAGGGGAAAGCAACAGCCCTGAACCATTCCAGATTTTTTTACAAGAAAGGGGAAAGAAAGGCCCTGAGAAACATGTTCAAACTTCGTGCCAAGCAAATTCATTTCACTCTGGTAAGCTGTACGTGGAGACAATCTCTGGACTTCCCCGCTAGGAGTCAGATTTATGCTGCGTTTGTGTCTAAATGGCCTCCAGGGATGCTGACATTTGTTGTCGGAGACAGCGAGTGGTGTTCCTTTCATCTCCGCTGAGGGGTGTCAGCTTAAATTATGAGGGATTGCTTGGCCTGCATCTGGGTGTGGGAGCCTCTGGCAACGGAGAAGGGCCGCCCCTCCCTCCACTCCCACATCTCTGCCGTTTGAAGATTTTTCTTCATCTTCTGCTCTCCAGTACTCCTGCTGGTTCTGGGAGAAATCTCCCTGCTCTTTTAGAACTTTCCTTTCTCTTGGACAAATCGATAAGGGTATATTTTAGGCACTGCCTATCTTCATGGAGAAGTTGGGATCAGTGAGGCAGGCCTGCCCCTGCTGAGAGAGTAGCCAGGAGCCTCCATGGACATCCCAGGAGCAGCCTGGAAATTCCCCAAGAGAGTCAGAGGGCACAGCTGTGAACACAGCCCTTACAACACAGGGGACAGAAGCCAGGGGATGGTTAGTGATGGTCTGCATTCCCCTTGGCAGCCGGGTCATGGCCTCTGTCTGCACTTTGAGAGTGCCAAAAGGCCCCTCCATCCTTCCGTCTTCAGAATCTCTCTCACTCAGATCTGCCAGGACACCTCAAATTCCACACTGGTGACTCTTTGGTTGGAGCATTTCCCGTTCAATGTGCAGATGTTATTGACTGTGGGAGGGAACATCAAACCATGCTAGTCATTGCCTCCTCAGTGTATCAGATCAGCAGTACTTCCTGCCCCTAGGATCAGTGCCTGAAAGAATGGGATACAGGATATGTAAGTTTTGATGGAGAATAGGAAGTCATGAGAGGTCTAGAGAGGGGTCAGTAAACTATAACATCCAGGCAAATCTGGCCTGGTGCCTGGTTTTGAAAAACAATTTTACTGGAGCACAGCCATGCCCATTCATATTGTCCGCGGCTCCTTTCCCCCTGCAATGGCAGAGTTGGGGAGTTTCAGTTGAGCCCGTAAGGCCTGCAAAGAGGAAAATATTTACACTCCGGCCTTTTACAAACAAAGTTTATAAGTCCCTGGTCTACAGAATGAAGTGCTTCTTGGAAGACAAAATGGGAGACCCAAGGAGACAGAGGAGAGAATGAGATATTGAATAGCAGAAAGGAGGAATCGGAGGCAGAAAATGCACAACAAAAAATGATAGAAACATTGAAAACAAATCTTAATCTCATCCTCCACCCTCTTCCCCTCATCTCCTTTCTTCCCTTTCTCCTCCTCCTTCTTCTCCTTCCTCTTCTGAAAACAAATGTTTTCATCTCTCTCCTCTTATAGGGATGTGGAGAGAATGAATGAGCAGACACCTGTCGCGCCCTCTACATCCTGCAAAATGGGCACCAAGGGCTAGCCGAGGAGATGGTTCTTTCCCCCTCCTTTCTGTTCCATGAGGGAATAGCAGCTCTTGGGAAATGTGCATGCATCCCAGGCAAGGGAGAATACAATGGCAGCAGTAGGTGGAAACCAGGGACCCTCAGCCATCCTGCTGGGGCGCTGAACAAACTTCAGAATTCACATCTTCCTTCTGGAACCAACCCCACCCCCTCTCCCTCTCTTTCTCTTCCTTCTCACAAGCTCTCATACACTCACGTTCCACAAAACCAACTCTCATTGTTGGCTAGGGTCATGTCTGCAAGGAGAAATGAACACGTGCATTGAAAAACCTTAACGCAGACTCCCATCAATATGTGACTAGTATTAACAGAAAACGTGTCTTGGATCAAGAATACGTCTTTTATGTTGAAATAATAATAATGATAATTTTCTAAGTTCTAAACCCTTTCTAGACAGTGCTAAACCCTTTAGCTATACCATCTCATTTAATTCCAACAACACTGTTCTTTCCCTGATGAGAAAATTGAGTCCTGAGAATTTGTTCAAAATCACACATAACTGGCATAGCCAGAATTTAAATCTGAGTTTATGTAACTCCAAAGTCCATGCTTGGGGATATGATACCACATTGCTTTCTTAAATTGTGTCATCATATATAAGCCATTATTACAGGATCTAGCATTGTTTTAGACTTTAAATTTTCATTAGTTACGTTATCCTAGTTATCACTATATCTTTGCATCAAACTATGTGAGGAATGGTGGTAAAAGAATCAGACTGACTCTGGAAGACATTTACAAATACCATTTTATGGACATAACTAGTTTGAGACATGATGATTCTGATGATAATACAATTGCATTTTAAAATATATTCTATGGGCCGGCCTTGTGGAATAGTGGTTGAGGTTTGGCATGCTCCACTTCAGTGGCCCGGGTTCAGAGGTTCGGATCTTTGGCGAGGACTTACACCACTCATCAGCCATGCTGTGGCAGCAACCCTCATATAAAGTGGAGGAAAACTGGCACAGATGTTAGCTCAGGACTAGTCTTCTTCCAGGAAAAAAAGAGGAGGATTGGCAACCAATGTTAGCTCAGAGCTGATCTTCCTCAGCAAAAAAAAAAATTAGTTAATAAAATATATTCTATACTTTGGACCTTTCACTCATTTGTTCTAGACTTAGCCCCTTTTAGTCACCTGCCTTGTGGGAGATCTACACGGTCCTTGGGGTGGGGTGTCAGCCCCATTTCCTCAGAAATCTCACCAAGACATCACTGGTGCCAGAGGAGCATCCTTTTGACCCTAAGGAGTACATCAGCAAAGAGAATAATTGACCTAACTAAAGACTGGGCTTTTGGGAGGGTCTCTGAACAGCAGGATATAGGGCCTTATAAGGGTGAATCTGTGCAGTCAATGGCTTCCTTTTTCCTACCATTTCTCCTCTTTTGGGGCCTTCTGATTTCTCTGAGGCTTTTATTTCTTATGTGCATATTTCTTCCTTGCCATTTTGAAAACCTCCTTCTAGAAAGATCATAAAATCCCTTCAAACCAAAATATTACTGAGATCAGCTTACTGAATTACCTGCTGGAAAGAGCAGCAGTCAGAGTTGGGGATGCCAGAGTAGCCACTCCTTGTCATGAAGATTCTTCTTCTTTAATCTCTTGGTTTTTTCTTTTTTTATAGGGAAAGATTCGTCCTGAGCTAACATCTATTGTCCATCTTCTTTTTTTTTCTTTCTCCCCAGAGCCCCAAGCATGGTGGTAAATCCTAGCTGTAAGTCCTTGTTAGTTCTTCTATTTGAGCCACTGCCACAGCATGGCAGCTGACAGATGGGTGGTGTGGTTCTGCCACTGGGAAGCGAACCCAGGCCGCCAAGGCAGTGAGAGAGCTGAATTTTAACCACTAGGCCATCAGGACTGGCTTGTGGGTTTTTTCATTTGTACTGTCAAGGGCAGTGAGGCAGAAGGGGAAAGACATCCTTTCCACAACATCTATTTAGAGCCTCCTATGTATCAGGAATCGGGACTGGAGCTGGGGAAGCCCTCGGGACAAAGTTTTCCACTGGAGGCACGAGGCCAGCTGAGCTCCGTGAGGACCCAGAGAGAAATGAGGTTCTTGTTAGAGTAATCTGGGCACACAACCTCCTAAGGCTTTTAATCTGAATGTGGAATTTTAACCTGAATATGGAAAGAAGTGTCTCCCACACAATGTTTCCCAGAGCCTGGAAGCATCTTCTCAGAAGCGTGAAGTCTGCAGGATGCGAGAGGCAGCCTGGGAAAAAATGCCATGTATGTGGGAGGGTTTATGTCCTTTAAAAGTTACCCCTTGTATTGCTCACTCTTAGAGTTGGAGAAATTCACATAAATAAATAAATACAGTTACTTTAATAGAGAATTATTTATTTTATAGACAAGCAATTTTGACTAACTCCCTATGTTATCTGTCTATGCTGGTCCTCTGTGGCCTTTTCAACGGTAATATTTTCTACTTCCTGGAGGTGGCTAGAATTTCAGACATGTCTAGGAAGTAACACACAAATTCTCCAGTCTAGACTTGAATTAAGAACCACCCCTTACTGGGCATTTATTGTATGCCAGGAAGCATTCTGAGTGCCTTATTGGTATAAGCTCCTTAAATCCTGCCGACAACCTCAGTGAAGTAGCTTCTCTTATATCTCAATTTGGCAGATGAGGATGTTGAATCACAGGGAGTTATCTAACTTGTCCAAAGTCACACAGCGAGTAAACGTGGAGCTAGGACATCATCTTGTGAGAAAGTCCTGAGCTGTAGTGGTGGACTTTCTGGTTCTTGTCTCTGGATGTTAGAAGTCATTTTCTTCACTGCTTGCTAGAGGCCTTCAAATCAGTACTGCACAGGTTATTGCACTCATGTGCAAAGCCGTCCTGGGAATGTGCACCGAAGGGCCTGTTGGGGAATAACATACAGCTCCAGGAAGTGGCTTTGAGGGACTCAACACATTGTTTTCTGCTTCTGTTAGGCAAAAGTGATGATGAAGAAAGTCTTTGCAAGTCAGCCCATGGGACAGGGAAAGGAGCTGCTGAGGATGGCAAAGACCACAAGCGCCCCAAACGTCCCCGAACCATCTTGACAACCCAACAGAGGAGAGCATTCAAGGCCTCGTTTGAAGTATCCTCCAAGCCGTGCAGAAAGGTACAGAAGGAAAGAGGCGGGGAAAGGGGACCAGGCCCAACTTCTCTCTGTGCATTCATTCCATCCTCCGCTGGGTATCAATGGGAACCTGGGGGTTAGGGCTGTGTGTTGTGGGTGTGGGAGGCTGTTCAGACAGAGTTTGTGCAGGTGACCTTGAACCCCACTGGAAACTCCAGGGATCATGGAAGCTGTGGCCAGGGATATGGTAGAATATCCCTATGCTTCTGTCCATACATAGCCACTCCAATTGGCGGCTTGCTCACACATTTCCTTCATGGAGAACAATGGGAAGAAGAAGAATAACAGGTATCAGTTGGGGTATAGACTGAGATGCTGTAACAAAGAGAATAAAAATGTAGTGGCTTGTAGTATGCATTCTTTTTTGGTCTAGTTTATTCTGCTTGGGGTGGTGATTTTAGCATTCATCCATGTTGTAGTTCATCCATTTTTGCTGTTGAATGGTATTCCACCGTATGGATGTGCCATGGTTCGTTTGTCTATTCACCTGCTGATGGGAGTTTGGGTTGTTTCCAGTTTGGGGCAGTTACAGATAGGACTGCTATGGACATTCATGTAAAAAAGAATGCAGTGACTTAATGAGATAGGAGTTTCTTTCTTTCTTATGTCACCCTCCAGAGGTGAGCAATCCAAGACTGGCGGGGCAGCTCTCTCATCCATCACATGGATCCAAGGGGCTGCTCCAATTGTTACCATTTTTCCAGCCACCATGGTGGAGAAAGAGGAAGCGGAGGGCAATAGCTGCTTTTTTAAGGATATACCCAGGAACTGTTTACATCACTTCCGGTCATATGTGCTGGCTAAAATTTAATCCCTTGGTTGCACCTCTTCCAAGGGGCCTGGGAAATGAGTCTATCTGGGTGACCACATGCCTTGCTAAAACTTGGGGATTCAATTACTAACAGGAGGATGGAGAGAATGGATACTGTGGACAGTCAGCCGTCTCTGCCACAAATAGCTGCATCCATTGATTAAGTACCTGCCATTTATTGACTGCCTGCCGCATGCTGGGTACAGTCATTTATACAATAAAAATAATTGAAATTCTTGGAAGAAATAAATTTTAAAAATTTTATTATTGTTTTTCCTGTATCCCTATCTGTATTAGCTTTTGCCGAAACAACAAAATCCTAGGGGCTCCCGGCAAACATTGGTTCCCTGCTCCTAGGCTGTGGGTTGGCTGTGGCCCAACTGGGCTCAGGTTCTGGCCTGCTCCACCTGTGTATCGTTCGAGGGTCCAGGCTGAAGGAGCAGCAGCCACCTGGGGCACACTGTTCTCATGAGGATGGCAGAAGGCAAGAGGCCGAGTCACACTGGGCAAGCCCATTGAAAGGCTTTCCTTGGATATCACACACATCACATCCACTCACACTCCATGGGCCAAAGCAAGGCACGTGGCTAAGCCCAGTGTGAGTGCATGAGTGAAGCAGACAACCACTCCCACCCTCCCCACCCCTCGCACCCAGTGGGCGGGGGAGGGAAGGGTGGATTTTTGCTGCACAGTAATGCAGTCCACCAGCACTTCTGCCCTTTGGAAGCATTCACCTGCAGAATCTTCCTTTGCCCGCCCTTGCTGCTCTCTAGGCCCCAGGACAGGTGCTGGTAGAAAGTGAAACAGCCTCAAAGTAGGCTTACACAGAACAAATTATCATCTCCCTCATTTATTTACTTATCCGACATGTACTAAACTCCCAGCCTCTGTATGGCCTGTGCCCAGTGCTTGTCCCTGGGCAGCCTCCAGGCCACCAGTGGGGAAGAGATGGGTGCACACTGAACTAATACCCAGGAGGAAGCTCTGAGGATCATAACAGGGGGCAGCTGGGAGCTGAGGGAAGGGAAAGGTCACCTCTGTCTGGGGAATCAGGCAAGGCTTTGTGGAACAGGTGGCTTTTGAGCTGGGCCTCTGATGGATGGATAGGGTTTCAGCAGGTGGAGGTGGGGCCCCAGGGCACACTGCTATTTTAGTTGGCTTAGCAGAAGGATGTATTTTAAAAATCTGGTCTAATCATCCCACTTCTCCTAAGCCCCAGCCCAAGTGGCATGATAAAGGGGAAGTACTTCCCGAGGCCTCCAGTTTGCTCAGGCTGTGTGTTTATTCAAAGAGCCCCTTCGAGCCCATCTCCTCCCCACAATCTAACCATGAGGGCACAGTGTCTCTCAGACCCACTCTTGAGAAGTCTCTGCTCCTTGCCTCTTCCCTCCTGGCCACCTTGCCAGCCCCTCACCCTGTGCCTGTATGGAGAGCGGATGTTTAAATACATGTCTTCATTACATGGTCCCAGTTGTCCTGTCTCTGCACAACCCCGGTGCATGTGCCTGCATTAGAGCCGTCTGCCTTCCTCCGCTGGATTCCAGATGGCTCTTGTCCTATTCTCTTTGGGCAGGGCTCACTCAGTGAATATGAATATTCATGAAATGCCCAAAGTCATCTAGAACTATGAGGGACAACACTGAAAATTGAGGTCAATGAATTTAGACCTCAAGGAGAAGAACAAGAAGGAACCATTTGTTTTTGCAAAGTGATTTTCCCCCTCAGTTCTCCTTAAGTAGGTTAATGCATATGTATGGGGTACAGCTAAAGCACACCAATAGATTTTGCTGGTGTTTAAGAACCATTTGAAGGCGTAATTTCCAGAGTAAGAGAAACCCAGAAACACCTCTTGGAATGAACATCGAAATGAACGATTATTCCTCTCTCCGTTTACCTGGCGAAGGACCCTCTCTCCCCTTGAAAGGAAGTGATGTTCTTGTGTTGGGCTTATGCTAGCCAGCACCTAGATAAGATGGGGCCTGTTGGCATCCCTGTGCACTGCACGGGAAACGTTCTGCCTCCTACTCTGAGATGCCAATGTTTCTGTGTTCCTAATGTTCCACGTTTTCAAGGTGAGGGAGACTTTGGCTGCGGAGACGGGGCTGAGCGTCCGTGTGGTCCAGGTGTGGTTCCAGAACCAGAGAGCTAAGGTAATCTGCTTCTTACTTCGGTCTGTCTCTGTGGGGCTGGTTTCCTGAAATAATAGCAGCAGGACATTGTACTTGCTGACAGGGTTTCTAACCTGAGCTCATTAGATAGAGTAGTTCTCTTGATTCAAAATTCTCTTAACAATAGTCATTCCAGTCACAGCAACCTGCAGAAGGGGAGAGACAGGGCATTTGTTTTAGTGCAATGGCTTTTATTTTCCTAGTGGCCATGACTGTGAATCTGGCTGGCTGTCTGCATGAATAAATGTTTTTCTGTATCTTGGTTAGAACAGGTTCTTTAATTCATATTTATTTAACCCAGATACCAAATTCTTCTAAAACTTCAAGGATAGACCTACCTAGCACACACATGACTGGTGTACATCAACATTATGGCACGGTGGAATGAATGCCTTTACTTACCTCTCCTGTGCCCCACCCCCCAGATAGGCCCAAACCATCGTATTGTCCTCTGGATCCTGCCAAGGTCGGTATTCCCCTGCCATGGTCTTTTATTTATTTTAGACCTTTTACTGGTTTATTTTCCTACTCCTAAAAATGCATGTATCCTGTAGCCCATTTTTCTAGGACCCTGCTCTTCAGTGGGTGATAAATTAATCTCTCATTATCTGATAAGGTAGCATTTCCCTAAGTGAATTCCTCAGTACAGGGTTGTTGATGTGTATTCCTTCCTGAAAGGACTCTGTGGTTCAATAGATTTGAGAGGCCCTGTAACCTGTGGATTCGTAAAGCAGAGGAGTTTGAAGCTCTGAGAAATCTTTCAGTAAAGAAATTTTTGTGTTAAACCCAGTGTTTTCTCCACATATACATATATCCACACATATATTCAAAATTATTAAAAATTAATGTTCTCAGAGAACCCTAATGTTCTACAGAATGCAGTTTGAGAAAGATTGGGTTAAAATTTTCCTTCCAGGAAGTGTGTGTGTTAACGGTGCTTTGGGAGACTAGAGCATGAATCTCCTGGTTGGCGTTTCAAACACAAGGGCAGCAGATAGAGGAGTGGATGGGGAACAGCCTCATGGCTCGTCCCAGATCACCCTGTCAGCAGCCCCTTGCTGCATATCTAAGCTGGGCTGCAGACCCCACATCCCCACACTGATACCTCACATAAAACTGTCACAACATAAGCAGCAAGTTTTATTTGCTGAGAGGAAATCCCTGCTCTTGCTAAGGCAAGCCGTGTGGTCGCTTCCCGGCCAGCTGTCTTTCCACTGCTGTGAAGTAAAAAGCCCTCAGCTGCGAGGCATCCAACTTAAGGTGCTGTTCCTCAAGCCCAGCTCCTTTACTGAGTAAAAACTGGGGAAACGGTCCTTCCATTGTACTCGCAAGCCCTTTTCCCCTTGGCGGGAAGCTGTGGCAGGTCACCTGACTTCTAATCCTCTCGTCCTCTCCTCATCAGATGAAGAAGTTGGCCCGGCGGCAGCAGCAACAGCAACAAGATCAGCAGAACACCCAGAGGCTGAATTCCGGTGAGCTGGCAGCTCCTCCCGCCGGTCCTTGCGGGAGTCCAGGCCTCTCCTACCAGAGGTCACCAACCACCCAGCCCCTTGACTGACATTTCTGGGCTCCAGAAAGCCCAGCCCACACCCACTAGGGAGATGGGATCTTCCAGTGAGGACTGAGCCCTGAGGAACGGTGAGAGGGTTGAGGGCACTGAGCTGCAGGCCCAGAACTGCTGATGGGAGGTGGCACTAACCTTATCTAAAGCCCCCTCGCCCTGACGCTGCCACCGTGTCAGGACTGGGTCAGGACCACCTACAGAGTCAGAGACCTGCCCAGTTTTTCATCCTGCCAGGTCCCCCTCCTTCCAGGAGAATCAATTTAACAGAAGACAACTCTGTGACTTTACTTCTTCCCAAAATAACGTGAAATGATAAAAATAAGGATAGTAAAATAATTATCCCCTCCTTTGCTGAGCACTTCTGTAGTTCCCAAGGTCACTCACCCCTGCTGACCTGACTCTTCCAGCCACCCCGCCCCAGGTGAGCGGAGAAGTTACCAGCATCCCCATCTCACAGATGAGCAGACAGAGGCTCTGCAAGACTCACTGTGGTGCTAGATGAGTAAGGGGTGGACCTGGGACTGGAACCCATCTCTCTGGTTCTAAGCTCCACTGGCCATGCTGCCTCACCTTACCCCTACCTGCACGCACCTTCATGTGTCGTTGTTTTTAATAGGGGTGGTGTGAGGATTGGAGAGGGGGTGAAGACGGTTAGGTTGTGGGAGCCTTCAAGGAAGTTAAAGAGAAAAAAATCAAGAGTAACTCTGTTAGAACAATGTCATTCTTAAAGGGATATGCCCCCAACTCAGGCGTCCAGCAGAATTCCCTGAACATTCGGTCGGTCTGTGCCCCAGAGCAGGCATTCTCACACTTGGATGTGAACATAAATCACCTGGCATTCGGTAAACTACAGATTCGGGTTCTTAAGGTCTGGGTGGGCCCTGCAAGTCTGCATTTTTAACTAATTCCCTTTGCTGCTGGTCTGTGGACCACACTTTGAAGGCTGTGAAATGTGACATCGGTTCTCAGGCCCCTAAACAAAGCCCCTTGTCCTTGCTTGGACTCTGCCTTGGGCTTGACACCTGGGCTAGGCTCAATCTAGAATTGGACTCTTGCAGTAAAGAGTTCCCTTAGTTTTTTACTTTCTAGGCCAAACAGTATCTTAACAGCAGGATAGATGCTCAGGGAGAAAAGTGAAACAAAGATGTGGGTGCTGGGGAAGGGTGGAGCTGCAAGCTGGTCAGGAGACCTGAATTCTGCCCCAGCTTCACCCTCAGTGCTGTTTGATCTGGGACCAGCCTATCCGTCTCTTTGTACCTCAGGCTATGTATGCCTAGGGTGGGGTGATAAGGCCTGCCAGCCCTATGGCACAGGGCCCCTGTGAAGTTCAGAGAGGTCACAGATATGAGAGGGCTTTAGGAAGAACCATGCATGTTGACTCCATATAGGCCAACACACTCAAAGGGACAAGAGTGCATCAAGGCATTATGAGAACACAAACTCATAGTGCTTGGGACTTTGAAGAATTCTAAGGGCACCTCCTAGGGTCAACTTAAGAAAGCAGAGCCTGGTAGAAAATAGAGTCTCTGGGAGTTAAAGGAAATGTGTTCGGAGAACCACAAAGACGTGGAGGCGGGAACTGAGTCCTCTTTTTCTCATAAAATTCTGCACACACACATAGCAAGTTGTAGTTCTAAAGCACACATGGAGTGCACATGAAGTCTCATGGAGACTTCATATCAGTTTCCTGAGGTTGGCCGGGCCAGTGTTGTGATTCCCACTTGACTGATGGGCTCTGAGTAGCGTAATGCTGGAAAGAGCTTTAGATCATGCCCTTCGGTGGCTGCCAAACGCCTTTGTTTTAATGATATATTTCAAGGAAGCTCTCCAAGGCAACTGCCCGCCCCATCCCTATCCTTGCTAGGGCACAGGCTGGGACCCACTGACGCCACCTCATCCTCTTCCATTCTAAAAATGAGGAAACCAAGACTCAGGAAGTAAAATGATCTCGCCGTGGTCACACAGATTGTGTGGTCACCAACCTCAAGGATGGCCCTCCGTGATTCTTGCCACCTGGTGTTCACACCCTTGTGTAGTCCCCTCTGACACTGAATAGGCTGACCTAGGATGTGACTTCCAAAACTAGGTCATAAAGTGTGGTGATTTCTGCCTTACCCTCTCTTGGAGAAGCTCTGGGGAAGCTGGCTGCCATGTTGTGAGGACCCTTAAGCAGCCCTGTGGAGAAGTCCATGTGTAGGGGCAATGGTGGGCTCTCGGATCCAGCACATCCCACTCCAAGTCCAGGGCTCCCTGCATTCCACTCACCTGCCCCTCTCCCTCTCTTTTCTTTATGGAGCAGTAGCAAAGGCCACTGCTGGGAAGGGACACGTGGAAGGGAGGATGTGAAGTTTAGAACGTGTTCTGTGGCCCTCCCCCGCAGCGGGGGATGCTGGGCTGCATGTGGAGAATGATTTGCCTTCTTCTTTGGCCCACAGGTCAGACAAATGGTGGTGGGAGTGCTGGGATGGAAGGGATCATGAACCCCTACACGGCTCTGCCCACCCCACAGCAGCTCCTGGCCATTGAGCAGAGTGTCTACAGCTCAGATCCCTTCCGACAGGGTCTCACCCCTCCCCAGATGCCTGGAGACCACATGCACCCCTATGGTAAGAGCAACTCAAGACCCACAGGGACCTCTCACAACTTGCTTGTGTGAGTTTCTCATTGCCTTCCAAACATACCTATGCAGTGGATGCTCACTGAAGCTGCAAAGCAGAATAAGTGCTCCATAAAAAGCTGCTAGAAACACCTAACCAATGACTATGGAAGAAAGACCAACACACAGAGTCATCAGTGATGTTTTCATATATTCTCCTTTCAAAGCTTCTTATTTGTTAGTTTTAAATAGGAGGTTTGTGCTTTCATTGTAGACCTGTTTGTTGTGACTGAATTTCCAAAGTCTTTCATTTCATGCCAGGTATCACACTTCCATGTTTGTAAGCAATATTTGCAGTGATATAGACAGAAGTCCTTAATTAAGCAAACTTTTGCATAAAGAAAGAAAATATATAAGAGCACAAAAAAAAGTGTTCTAATTGGACTATCCTGTCATGGATACTAGTAGGTGCTCTAATGTAATTCCTGAAACAGAAACTGACTTGTGAAGTGAAAAGCACCCTCGATCCCCCTCCACCTCACCCCTCCTTGGGTTGCTTCGGCTGCTGGGTATGTGGATAGCTGGGGACTGGGCATCCTGATGGGATGGGCAAGTTCCGGAGTGGAGGGCTGAAGTTCCATCTCAGGGCCAAATATAGGGCACCACGCTTTTATACAAAGAAAGTGAGCAGCCTGTGTAATGCATTCATCCATACTGTGCAATCTGCAATAAATAACCCTGAGAGCTAAAAATAAAGTTTTATTCAGCAAGGCTTCAAAACATTAGTATCAGAGACACATGCCTCAGCTCACAGATTTTGTCAAGCAACTTCTTTTTCACCTTCATTTAAAAAAATTCTATTTATTATTAAAATCACCCCTATCTTCCCATGTGATGCATTCAGCAAATGTTGATTAAGATCTGGCCCTTTGCAGAGACTTCATTGACGAAGCTCCTTCATTCACACACACGTAGATATACAATGCACGCGCCAGTGATGACCATCCTCTTTGCTTCTTTAGAAGACACGTGTTAACATCTGTACTGTCTTCACATGACAGCTCAGAGAAAACAGGACAAATGACTTTTTTGCAAATTTTTAAATTTTTAAAGTCCTAGGGGTCTTGTTACATAAAGGATTCCTATGATGAATCCTTTAGTAAAATGAATAATTAAAGCCACATGACAAGTTTTATAAACTCCACTGTCTCCTCTCCCATTTATTTGAAGTAGAGATAAAATGCATGTGCCTCTAGGTTCTGGTCACAGCGGTCTCCCAGCTGTTCCACAGTGTGCCCTCCTGGCTTCTCTGTCAAGGGTGTAAAGTACTCGAAGGTGGGCACCTGACCTTCTTTTCCTTTGCAGGACTGATCTGGGGAAAGAGCAGACACTCAGTGTAATCTTGCTATTTGAAAGGTCAAGTGTTATCATAGGAGGTTTCCCGACCCTCATCCACAGAGCTGATGTTTATTTTCTTACCATCGCTCTTTCAAGAACCATTTTTGCCTCAAATCCTCCGGGAAGCCTGTCCCTGTCTCTCTGGCCTGAGGTGCTGCCACCTGCCCATGCCCCACACTCACCATCTGGACATTCTGACGTTACTTATGCTGCACTCAACTTAGCCCTTGGTCATCTCCTAGTTTACGTTGTTTTCAGTGCTTACACCTTATGCATGAGCCCCCTAAGGAGACTAGAGATCTTTTGTGGCTAGAGATTAGCTCCCTCCTATTTTCTCTGTAGATGTCCTCCCACCTCCACCCCCTCTCCAGCCGCCAGTAGAAAGCTTCACCTGGGGGGTATGCTTATGCCACAATCACTGAATTCAGGTGAATTTCCTAGCACTGGAGTGAGACTTTTTCCAGGCCCTCATGCCAGTGTTTCATCTCCATTTCAGGTGCCGAACCCCTTTTCCACGACCTGGACAGTGACGACACCTCCCTCAGTAACCTCGGTGACTGTTTCCTAGCAACTTCAGAAGCCGGGCCCCTGCAGTCCAGAGTGGGAAACCCCATTGACCACCTGTACTCCATGCAGAATTCTTACTTCACCTCTTGAGTCTTCCCCCAGAGTTCTGTGGCTAGGCTCCCATATGGAACAACCACGTTATGTGCGGGGTCGGCTGGCTTTAGGATGGGGATGGCCAGGGAAGAGGTGGGTTGGGGAGGGAGTTTTGTTGGGGATGCTGTTGTGAAATGATATGGCATAGCTCGGCATTTCCAAAGACTGAATACATTATGGATTGCATAGTTTAATGTTTCTAATAAGAGTCTTAGCGTTAGGTCTGAAGATGTGTTTATCATTAAGGACAGGGACTTTTAATATAGACATTCTCATGCAAACTAGAAACCTAGAGACTAGAAAACAACTTCCCACCATTTTGGGGAAGCTCTTGTCAAGAGGTGCATATGTCTATCCATCCATACGCCCATAGACAGACAGACAGACAGATAGATAGATGTGTGCGTGAGTGTGTAACCTTTCATACTTTATCATCAAAGTTTATTCCTAATTATAACAGACACCAACTGTACAGCAAAAGTAACTTTATTTTCAGTGTGAACTATATTTAAGGAAATTCTTGATGCACTTAAGTTATAAAATGAGATAATTTACTTTTATAAACTTTAGTTTTAGTTTGAAGAGACTTGTCGGCAGGGCAGAGAGGGCTGCTCCACCAAGCCCCATAGCTTTGAGTGCTTGAGTGAATTCTGTTTTCAGAGAGTGTCGTTGAGGTCTGGAAGGCAACTCTGTGTGGCTGACAGTGTTCTCTCTTGGATTTTTGCTCTCTTTAAGGTTGAATCACTGGGCTTGGGTGGGACAGAATAATTCCTAATGATGTTCCTGGAAAACGTAAAGCCTAGACTCTTTGGCTTTCTTTTAAATTCTGACTTGTGCTTATTGGACAGCGCTAGGAAGTCAATTCTGCTCTTGAACTTCAGCATCTGCAAGTGTGGGATGAGGCTGATAGTATGTACCTACCTCACTGGGGGACACAGAGGCTTAATTCACCCCCAGGACATGTGAGCAGAGCTGAGACTAATGTCTGATATTTGCTTAAAATATGACCAGACCAGTCACTTGGCAAAGGAGGACACCTGGGCTGCAGAGCAAGAGGACTCCTGCTCCCTGAGCACTGAGGGCAACTGCCTGTCATCGTCCCTTCTGCAAAGGCTGGGCTGAAGATACCAGCTCAGGGCGGCTCGAGGGGATGCCAGAGTCCTTCAATGGGGAGAAAGTTGCGGCTGAGGGGATGAGGGAGGGCATCGTGGTGTTCTATCCCAGAGGCTGGCAAACTACAGCCTGCAGGCCTGTATTTTATAGCCTGCCGGCTAAGACTGGTTTTTACAGTTTTAAAGGGTTGTAAAAAAAGAAAAGGAAGAGAATGTGTGACAAGTGTATATGGCCCAGAAAGCCTAAAATATTTACTATCTGTACTGTCTGGCTCTTTTCATAGAAAGTTTGCTGGCTCCTGTTCTAGAGGGTCTATTTGTGAACAACCTCCTGGAGCTCAAAGGGGCAGAGGGGGTCCGGGGGAAACCCAGGGCTCCTCCTTCCAACTCACTTTTCTGACCCTGAGCACAGAAGACCCAGCTGCCATTGTACACAGGGACAATTCCACACCCTGTTCTCCAATTGTGGTGCTAGGATGGGATACTTCTGTGCAAGGAGGCCTCCTGAGAAACCAGAATGAGTTGATGGGGGAAGACAGAGGGTCAGCTTGGCTCCTCTTAGAGGGGCTGGGATAGGCTTGGCCTCACTCCTGGGGATGTTATCAGTCATCAGAGCCTTGGACACAGGGACTCGTCCCCATCACTGACTGCAAGGCCAGAGGGAGCACGCCCCCTTACAGTAGAGTCTATGTTGTGTGATTTTTGTGCTCTTGTTTATAATTTATGCAAACCATCAAGAAACCCAAACCAGTCTGGCGAGTGAAAATCATGCAGATGCTGCATGCCTCCTCAGGCTTCTGTGGTAAAAATCAGTTGGAGGATGTAGCAGGTACTATGTGAGTGAAAATGAATAGAGATCCTTATTCCACTCCCTAATGGCATACCAAGATGAAATTAAAAACCTCTTACAAATGACCTGTTGTTTATTCAGGGGCAGGGGTGGTGGGTAGGGAACCAGGGGACATGGATGTTTTGCCCACAGAGGCATGGGGAGGGGATTATGGTGAAGCTTTACATGGAGGGAAAGAGTAACTGTAAGAAAACGCAAGAAAGGGGTCTTCACCCTCCTGCCAAGATGGATTCAAAGACCTCAGTCCTTACAAGAACCCCTCCAGAAGGAGGCACTGGGAATATTCCACCTTTACCACCACGTTCACCCGAGGCAGAACAGTTTGCGATGTGCATCGTAAGAGCATTTGCTTGGAAATCAGAGCAGAGTCATGGAGCAAGAGGAAGATTCCTTATGCAGGCCTGAAGACAGATGCCCAGACAGGGTGGGGGCAGAGCAACAGACAGTGGCTCCCTTGGTAGACTCTCAACAATTTTAAATGTGACATATGGCTGGGTGATAGTTACAACTATGAAGAAAAGAAGTAAGGAAACAGTATGGATGTAAGACCACAAGACATACTCAAAGGGTGGCATCAATTTTTGTCTTCTCTCACCCACCTGCAGTGGTTCAGACCCTTCCACCCCAACCTCTGGTTCACCCACTCCATATGAGAAGCTGGCTCTGCCTCTTGCTGAGGGCCTGGAAGCAGAGAGATGTGAGTTATATGGCCAGGCTGGCAGGAAGAGCCCACCAAGGAAGCCTGTATCTCAGACTGGCCTCCACTGGGCTAGCCTGGTTCCATCTCCAGTTCCCAGAGAGAGTTTAGGCCTGAGACCCTTACCCCTCATGTTTGCCTAATTGACAATTGACTTATCCTTCAGACAGTTCTTATCCTTATCCTTTCACAATTGCCTAATTGGCTTATCCTTCCGAATCAACCCAGACTTGGCCTTCTCTCAAAGAAGCCTGCAAAGCCAGGTTAGGTGCCTGTGTGGAGTAACTGGGCAAGGCGACCTGCTGCAACAACTCCCGCCCCCCACCCATTTTATAATAGCTCAAACACAAGATAAACTTATATTTTTGCTCACATAAAAAACCTGGGAGGGAGTTCAGGTTAGAAGGACACCTCTCTTCCACGCATAATGATGGCTCTGCTCATGGCTTCTAAGATTTCCCTGGGGATTGGCTGTTTCCATTCTTCTTTTCTCTTTTCCCCTTCCAGCTGAAAGTGGGCAAGTCTTGATCCAAATTCCAGCTCCTCCGCTCACTAACTGTGTGGACTTGGACAAGTTCCTTCACTCTGCTGAGCCTCTGATGACTCATGCACAGTACGGGCATGGTGTTTGTCACTAGCTGCCACGGAGGGGTTATGAGGACAAGTGAGATAAGACGTACAAAGCACTCAGCCCCGCATTGGGCACATGGAAAGTGCCCAATGTGTGTGAGCTGTGGGGCCAGGGGCCAGACCCTGCTCTCTGGGTTTGGTCATTGATGAAAGGCTTACGGGAGCCTCAGACCATATTTGAGAAAAAAGAACACACCCTGGTTCACCTGAGATAGGCAGGCCCCTATCATGTCTCCCCATAACATCTTTCAGTCTCAGTGTAGATCTTATTTAGCCTCAGTTACAATTGTGGGGAATGGTACGTTTTTGTTTTGTATTGTTTTTTAAAGGCATGCAGATAAAATTCCAATTCCAAAGACACATTAAGAACTCTGACCCCGAGTCAGGTCATCAGAGATTTCTCCAGCCATCTAGTCACTTTCCGGCTCACACAATAGGGCTGAGATGAGAGTGAGAGCCAGGATCCGTCGGCTGACTTTTCTGAATGGGAGAATTTTGAGTTGACCTAACGTAAATCAAAAATGGGAAGAAAGTGGAATTTGTCAATGCCAAACCCAAAGACAAAATAAGTTTGTTTTTAAGTGAACTGCAAGTAAAGTCAAAGTATTTTTCTCTTCTCCCCTTCTCCGATCCCCTCACATATAAATGCAAATATATTCCATCAGTCCAAACTGGGCTGCAGACTGACATAATTTAACCAGGATAAAAACCAAATTAATACCTTGTTTTCCTGAGCTCTTTTGTTTACCATGTTGCAACATTCTGTTCAATGACAAGAAAGGGAGACAACCTTTAGGGCTCAAAAGAAGGCCTTGAGATGTTTATGCTAAAAATATAGTCCCTCTAGACCTGAATGAGGTGGACAATTGGAGATTCCCTGCCTTGAAGTTTATGTCATATTTGAAGTTCCCTACATGCATAACCTTGAGCAAGGCTCTGAGCCTCCATTTCTTCATCTATAAAATGGGGCCAATAACACTTGCCTGTCTTACAGCTTGGTTGTGAGCATGAAAGGAAATAGTTAGGAAAGAACTTTGTAGACCATGAAGTGCTGTGCAAATAGGAGGGCTTCTTAGTATCTTGTCTCAGGAGGCACACACACACGCAGATGGGCCCCTTGGGGAGCACAGCATCCGTGTGAGCAGTGTCCTCCTTGGGTGGATGCCCACAGCAGGAAAGGGATGCCCCAGATCAGAGGGAGAATAATCATTTCCTCTCTCAGCAGCTGTGGATTACTGCTGCCACTGCCTGATGGGCCTTCTCCCCTCCAGGGGAGCATTCTGAGGGAAAAAAAAAAAAAACCAGCCTAGGGTGGCTCAGCCCCTAGTGGATGGTGCATTGACTAATCTGTCACTATTTTTCATCTTCCCCTGCCACCCCCTGTGCCTAAGAAGGGAAAAGTTGAGCCTGCCCCTGATCTTTGGTGGGAGTGACCCACCCTAGATAATTGTGCCGCTGACCAATTTATCTGGTCCTTTTAGCAGCTTATTCATTCATTTAGTTCATTCATTTAATTCACTCAATAAGTATCTACTGCACACCTAGAATATGCCAGGCTCTGGGATGGGTCATAGAAATAGAGGTGAGCAGAAAGAGACATTGGCCCTGCCCTCATGGAGATTATAACTTAGTGGAGGAAATAGCCATTAACCAAAAATGCTAATAAATTTAACTTGCATTGTATTAAGAGCCACAAGAGGAAAGTCTTAGAGCTGTAAGAGAGAATGTAGGGAAGTATGACCTAGTCGGGAAAGTCAGAGAAGGTTTCTCTGAGCGAGTGATGATGGAGTGAGGACTTTATTCATGTCTCCTAGTGCCCTCCGCCATCAAGTATAATTCTGTTTCTCCTTTCTGCAAGGCCCTGTTCTAACTGCCATGGGTGGAAAGAATCTGATAAGCTAATGCCCTCCAAGGTGTTCACTGATAAGGTCTAAAGAAGTTGCTTATAGAGTCTTATAGTACAAAATGCCTTCACAATCAAAGGAATGGGACACTGTCACTCAATCAACACATGTTTATTAAGCCCCATGGTGGATATTTGCTGTTTTCTGGCCTCTCGGCCTCCATTCAGTCTATTTCTGATAACATCACCTTGATTTTCTGAGGGACTTGACCTTCCTCCATCATGTGTAGATTTGTGGGACTGTAAATCAAGGTGACTGGGCTGCTGTAACCAAGGAGCAGGCGCATGTAACCAAAGCTAGGCCAACAACCCTCTCCCAGGACTTGAATCTGAGGGAGTGGCATAAGGTGGGAAACTTGTTTGGAGTTGCTTCATTTCTGTAGGTGCACCTGATGAGATGGCCAAACAGTTCCTGTCGCCAGGCCCCCAGAGCTGCTCTGCTCCCTATTTGTTGCCAAGACTGGTCTCCCAGTACCCTGTGATTCCATGAGCAATCTTCTCTGCTATTCCAATAAAGACACTTTTGGGCTGAAATGAGCTTGATTTTGTTTCAGTTGCTTGCAGTCAAAAAACCCTGACAGAAGTTACATACTACAATTTTTGTGTTGTTTTACATTGTACACAGAGTGTGTGTGTGAGTGTGTGTGTGTGTGTGTGTGTGTGTGTGTGTGTGTGTGTGTGTTTTAGGTCCTTGCTATGACCCTCTGGATTACATTGGGCAGGTATTACTTCCTTCATTTTATAGATGAGAAACCTATAACTCAGAGAAACTAAGCCTAAGTTTGCAGAGCTAGTTAGGGTCAGAGTTGAGTTTCTAATTCATTTCTCCTGAGTCTTGGTCTTCTGCTTGTTCCCCAGCTCTGACTTCTAAGTGGCAAGGTTGGTAGCAGTCTTAGGAGCACATGCATGCCCAGGTAGTGTGAGAGGTACAAGGAAGTCATGATACCTCTCCTGCCTACAAGGAGCTTATAGTCTAGTTGAAAGTAAAAGATGTGCACATGAACTCAATATGTATAACCACATGTGACAAATGTCAGACTGCTGGCATAATGTGTACCATGGGCATGCAGAAAAGACAGAGGTTATTGGGAAAAGGGAAGGGAAGAAGAGGCTTTACTAAGAAGGTGAGGTTAGAACTGAGCCTTTGAAGATGGGTAGAATTTTCATAGATTGAGAGTAGAAGGGAGGGCATTTTAAACAAAAGGACCAAAGTGGGTAAAAGTACAGAGGGAAGGATGCAAGGCATGTTCAAATACCATTCTGGATGGAGTGGAGGGTTGACTAATGGTGGAATTTGAGGCATTGAGTGAGGTTGATGGTGAAGGTCTTGGTGATAGGAGCTTGTTGCCAATAATTCATTAATACAGATCAAAGACACCCTATTTCAAAGTTTAACTGAGGCTGCTAGTCATTTGCCGTAATTTATTCTTTCCTAAAATAAACCCTCCATTTTTTTAAGCTGGTACAAATTTCCTTGGAATAAAACCTACATTTCCCAAACTCCAGTGCAACTAAGTGTGTTCATTCTGACCAGTGAGATAACCAGAAGTCTCATATGGCATGTTTGAGGTACCTTCCTTAAAAGACAACTAGCATGTGCCCTTTCTCTCTCTATGTCACTTTCTTCTTCCTGGCTGTAATACAGTTGTGATGGCTGGAGCTGGAGTAACTATCTTAGGTCATGAGATAAACTTGTGAATGGAGGCTGCACGTGGTGAAACAGCAAGGTGGAAGGAGTCTGGATTCCGGAGGACTTCTGGGAGCCAAGCTGCCATTCTGGCCCTGAACTATCTAGGTCCTGATTTATATATGAGGAAGAAATAAACTTCTTTCTTTTTTTAAGTTACTGTTGTTTTGTGTTTTTTTTGACTCACCTCAAAATCTAATCCTAAGTGGAACACAAAGCCAAACCCAGTTAGGATGAAATCTAAGCCCATTTTCTTCCCCTGATGCTACTAAGATAAAGAATGAAAGGTCCAGACAATATATTCCTAGGTCACGGGAGTCAACTGAGGCAAGGAGGATAGAGGGTGCAATGATTATCTTGTGACTTTAGACTTTATATGATCCGAAAGGCACAGGCGTTAGAGCTGAGTCCTCTTATCCCTTTAAGGACAGGAAGTGGCTTGTTTATTCACCCACCTCATCTCAACCAACTTCTTCAATTATCCCTGTAGATTTGTCATGTACAACCAATGTGGAATTTGATCAGATTACCCAGCCTCCTGAAGGAGAGGGAAGAGGCAATTCTGTACAGCCTCCTACAGATCCATTATTCCATACATACTGGGTACGTAGTATAGACACACATGTATTTACATTATTTCCATACACAAATGTATGTACATAGTTTGTATGCACATATACACACATGATTTACATACAGATATGTGTGTACCTAGTATGTATACAAAAATACACCTGCACACATATTTATGAGGAGGTTTGGCCAGAAGTCACACTCCTATGGCTGACCAGGTATTTTCTCTTAATCCTAGCTCTAAGCTATCATTTGGACAAAGCCTGAGAACAGTTATGTGTGTGTGTTGGGATATGGGAGTTAAAGAGAATCAGAATGCTCTTTTCCTCTCCTAGGATACGAAAAATGCTTCTTCCAACCATCTGCTATTATTTGGGGGAGAAAGCAGAAATCGGGAGGTTGAAGCATTACTCTAAAGAAGTTTGCTCTCCTCTGAAGTAGGAAAAATGACATAAAGACACCAAAAGCATCAGGCCTGTCCCATTCTACCTTGAACAGAGAGGCCTGAGAGGAGGACCAGTTTACTAGTATTAGGAGAGGATTAAGATGTTTGGGAGGCCAAGCAGAATTGATATATCACAGATCATACATTATGCCAATCACAAGCTGTGGAGTGATTTTAGAGAAGGATCTTCATTCCCTGGTATTGTGTTTCTGTGAGGAGAATTCCACTACAGAAACACTCCTGGCCTCTCCTCACTCCTAACTTGCTTCTCCTCAAAAGGAGGAGGAGAAAGTATGTGGTTGATTGTTTGGGAAAAGGAGCTGAGAATGCTTGGCTCAGCTCTGCTGGGTCTTTGGTGTCTCTCTGTGGTCTGGACTCAGTATGAGGTGTCCTTGGTTTATCTGTGTGAAAGGTAACTGGGACGGAAATGCAGTTTTGGGGGACAGTTTGATTCAAGGGGATTATAGTTAGGGATCCTCTGACTGTGGCTACAAATCTAAGCTTCACTCTTTAATTAGATTTACCGATAAAGCTGATTTTTAAAAAGATCTTCATTTGGCTGATTCCTTTGTAATATTTGCCATTTAGTCACAAACTTGGGAAGCAAAGACAGTGATGTTATTTATTATTCCTCTAAAACTCAAACAATTAAATACCCTTTAGGCATACCACAAAAAGTTCAGCAGTTGCGTGGTGAATCTAAAGAAATTGTTTATTTACTTGTCTACTCAAGATTTAAGACGAACTTTTTAAGGACTATCTCTATACCAGTCACTAGACTAGGGTAGTGAATATGAATTTAGGTTTGAAAACTCAACTTTGTAAGAAATGCATCTCTCTTTGTTTTCTATATGGCAACCTAAAGTCTAATTTCCATCTCTTTCCCACTGGGCTGGGTTTCCCTCTCCAATCGCATGCCCCTGTTACAGTCTTTGGTCTTGGGCAGGGCCACAGTGGCTGAGGAGTTAGAGGAAGGGGCCCATCTCATGTTGGCCCTCTGCCATCACCCAAAGGTGCCCATCACCATAGTCAACAGCATCAACATCTTTCTTCATAGCTATCATGGGCCTGACACCCCTTGCAGTGATTTCTCTTGGATCTTCTGAAAGCATTGCTAGGAAGCCTGCAGTCTCCCACCCTTTCTTCTTCTCCTACCCAAGCCAGGAATCTCTTTTTAATATGGGAAAAGCTTTATTCATCCTGTTTCTGATCAAGACATCTTGTCTATATCCTGAATCTTTTCTTTCGCCTTTGTTTAATTCTTTCATGATAAAATAAAATATTTTAGAGATGTATGTTTTCCTGCCACACTAAGTTCTGGAAATAATCTTTCCTCCCAGAGCATAATTCTAGCTGGCAAGAAAAGGTTTGTAAATAGGCCATTATGATATAATTGGGCTTTTAACAAAGGTGTATGCAGAGTTCTATACAGGCAAAGTGAAGGAGAGTTAGGAATGACATCATGGCGGAGGTGTTATTTAATCTGGGCCTTCAAAGATGAAGAGAAAGCCAGGAATATAGGGTGGGGAAGAACAATCCAGAAAGAAGAAATCGTTAGATCGTGAGCAGAAGACACTGTTTAGGGGGAAGACAATCTTGGGGCTGAAACACGGAGGCGTGGGGAAGTGAGGATGGGGAATGGCTGATGCAAGGCTGTGGAATTCAATTAGGGCTGTATTGCCTGGGAAGGACCTGAGATGTCTCCTTAACAGATTGGACTTATCCACCAGGCATCAGAAATTATTCAATTCCACAAACCTTTCCTGAACAACTATTAGAGGCACTATTGTGGGATACCATAAAGATAAAGACACAACTTCTATCCTTATAAAGCTAAGGGTTAGTAAGGAGATAAGGCATATTATTAAATATTTTTAGTATACATATTTAACAAAATATATGACAATTTGTTTAACAATCTATAGAAGACAAATAAATATACACAATACAATCAGCAGTATATCAGACACTTAAGTACAGATCCCAAGTCAGGACTCTAACGTGTCAGCCAGTCGGGTCCTACAGCCCCAACATCAGAGGTTTGAAAGCCCTAGGGTTATGGATTAAACTTTTCATTTTTCATTCAGACATTGACCCATGGAGAAACTGACACAGCTTAGACAGACATGGCTGCAGCTCTTCTTATTACACTGAGTTGGGGACACCAGCATGGAAGGAACACAAGGTTTGGAGTCAGACATGCTCGCGTTATCATCCTGCCACTTACAGCCACGTGTTCCCCCCCCCCCCCCAAATCTCTGTTTCTTTATCAGTAAATGAGGATAAAGACCCCTATTTGCCAAATTGGTATGAGGAGTACAAGTGCAAGATCAGTATTAGCATGGAATATGGTGGCAATTATTGAGTCATTCCTGGGTGCAAAGTAATGGCCTAGTGTAGGAATGGGAATGGGGAGAAAGGAGGAATAATTTGAGGAATGATTTGGTGACAAAAGTCACAGGATTTGATGACTGATCAGACAAGGGAAGAGGAGAGAGGTGAGTTAAAGACATTTTGAGCCTGAGTAATTGAGAACACAGTGAAGCCTTTAAAAATAGGGAACATGGAGTACATCCTGCCAAATCCTGTCCTCCTTTGTCCGGGAAGATTGCCTTTGACAAATACAAACACAGAACACAGAAGTGGGTTTGAACCAGCCTTTCTGGAGGTCAGGCATGTGTCTGGGATTCAGGTTGGCCCAGTGAGCAACTCAGAGGGAGTTTTTTGAGGGAGACTGCTCCGTGCCTGCCATTATTCCAGGGAGGCTGATGAGCACTCTGACATAGCAGGAAGCTGAGGGGAAGGGAGACGGGGGTG